TGGATTTTATTTTTATAGATAAGGGTATTGGGAAATTTCACTCACAGATATATTTAGATGACTATCAGGAGGAACTTTATTACAATAAAGTCATTTTACCCAATTATGTCTCATTATTGTAAAATTTGCATTTCATGCCAAAATTTAAATCTTATCAAAAGCTCTTTTACTTTCATTTGTTTTACTTTCTTTGTTGTTTATGGGATCAAATCCAGCAGTGCTCAAGGCTTACTTCTGACTCTGTGCTGAGGAATCACTCCTGTCAGTGCTTAAGGGAGCATATTCTGTGACCAAAATCAAACCAGGATCTCCGTTATAAGTCCATGAACTATCGTCCCACTCCCTAAAATTATTTTTAATAAATTATTTTTAATAAGCAGCTGATAGTTTGATTAATTTTTCCTTCTAAGTTTTGTTTAAAAATTGTGAATAGGACAGGACTGGAGAAATAGTACTTGCCTTGCACGCAACCAACCCAGATTAGTCCCTGGAACCCCATAGGAGGTCTCCTGTGTCCTGCCAGGAATGATCATAATTGTGGAGACAGGAGTAAGTCCTGAACACTGCCAGGTGTAGAACCAGAAAACAAAAACCAAAAAATTAAGAATTGGAAAGTGACTTGGAAAAGAATGCATTGCCCCATCATTGAAGGCATTCATTTCTTTAGTGCTAACATCAGTATTTTAACTAATTTAACTAATTTCTCTTACCCATTACTCCAGTGATAACTACTGAACTCTTTTTTTGGGCATTTACAGATGCCACATATACTTAATGATACCAGAGTGTTTGTCTTTTGTGACATCTCAATTTGAAGAATGCTCTTAAAGTTCATTAATGTTGCTGAAAATGACAGGTTTTTTTTTCTTGCGGCCTCATAGTCATTTGTGGATATGCCACATTTTATTATTTGATAGACATATTATTTATTATTTGATACATGTGCTTTTATCCAACTTTATTGGAATATAATTGATCCATAACAGTGCATAAGTTTAAAGTTAATACGATGGTATGATGCCCACATATAATATCAGATGCTACTATCATCAGATTTATTAAGATATTCTTTATCTCATAATTATTATTTTATTGCTGTTCTTATTATTTTGGCAAGACATTAAAACTCTGCTCACATCAACCTTCCAGTGTTGAAATCATCATCTTTCATTACAGCTATGGAACATAATCACCTAATGACTGAAAATACCCTTTGACCAACATATTATTCTCTCAATCCCAAGGCCCTGGCAATGACTACTCTATGCATCTGTTTTTTATGTATTTGAGGTTTTTAGATTTCGTATATAAGTGAGATCATGCAGTTTTTTAAAATATTTTTTTCTGTGACTCATTTCAGTTAGAATACTGCCCTCAAGACCTATTCATGCTATTGTAAATGGCAGGATTTCCTTCTTATGTCTGAACAATATTCCAGGTATTATATGGCCTACAAATAGTGAAAAAAAAAACCATCTAAACCGTTTTTCTTTATGCATTCATCTGCTGGCTCATTTTTTTCATCTTGGTTATTGTGAAGAATGTTGCTATGAACAGAGTGGGTACAGATGCTTCTTGGGCTATCTCATCAGAGACATTTCCATATAACCCTAGAATTAGCTTCAGAATGGAGGGAAATGCCACCTAGCACCTATGCATTGAAATGGGCCAGTGGAGAGACCCTTAGCTGAGGTTCCCCCACAAATCCCATGTATGAATTTTGTGCTGAAGTTCAAGCACAGGTAGATCATTCAGTCCCAGATCTTGTTGCGAAGGTTCAGCACTGGGAAAGTTCCTCTGCCCTCTCTGTGTCCAAACTCTTTTATGTTTCTGATTTTATATTTTGGGTTGGAGCAATAGCACAGAGAGTCGGACATTTGCCTTGTACGTGGCCGACCCGGGTTCGATTCCTCCATCCCTCTCGGAGAGCCCGGCAAGCTGCCGAGAGTATCCCACCGGCATGGCAAGCTCCCCATGGCATATACGATGTGCCAAAAACAGTAACAACAAGTCTCACAATGGAGGCATTACTGGTGCCCACTCGAGTAAATCGATGCACAACGGGAGGACAGTGGTAGAGTGCTACAGATTTTATATTTCAATCAAATGGTACACTGGTTGAACCCCTCTGCAGGGATGGACTTCTACAGATGTTCCATCTTCTCTGGCCTTTTGTCTAAGTCAGCCTTCTCCAGGGTTCCGCCAGCCCTGCCAGAAAGATAGCGTTAGCCCCACTGGTTCTGTATCCTATGAAGAAGTTAGTGTACATTGATTACACAAATCAGATGAATGTGTGATGGTGACTTTTCCCAACAGTCTCTTTTTCTTTTTTTTTTTTTTTATTAGTGAATCACTGTGAGGTACAGTTACAGGCTTACAAACTTTTGTGCTTGCATTTCAGTCATACAATGATCGAGTACCCATCCCTTCACCAATGCCCATTTCCTACCACCAATGGTCCCAGCATCCCTCCCACCACCCCCACTTCATCCCCTCCACCCTGCCCTGCCTCTGTGGCAGGGCATTCCCTTTCTCTCTCTCTCTCTCTCTCTCCCTCTCTCTCTCTCTTTGGGTCCCAACAGTCTCTTGGCATATGTTGTTAGAGTCCACAATTCCCTCAGCACTTTTGTTTGTGGGAGGATGTCTACTAATCAATCATTTAAAAACAGGAGCAGAAAGTAAGGGTGGTGTATCACTGGAATCTGAATGTCACTCTCCTTCACCCAAATGAATATCTGCATTTTAACAGCATTTGTTGACTACTCTATTAACAATTTGCATTCCCCCCCCCCTTTTATTCCTCTCTTCTCTGTTCTTTGTGCCTGTTAGTTTCAGTCTGTTTTATTGGCATCACTGTTTTGATGGGATTTCAAAGAGAAGAAGGCTTGTGAACACATTCAACATGTTTTGTTTAGACGAATAGTGTCTCTTATTGATACATTTTATAATGCACACAACTACAACATGTCTATTATCTTTATGCTGTTATTCAATTCCTATTTAACTTGTCTATAGAAATTTAGTTCTGCCTCAGGAGATGTGTACAAGGATTCAAGGAGTCTAACTTTGACTGTAATTGTGAAAAGCTGGAAACAAGTTACATGTTATCAGTAGGAAACAAATAAATGTTAATAGGTCTATTCTACACAATACAATGCAGCAGTAAAAGCAATTTAAATACACACATATGGAAATATCTGCAGGAACTATTAAATTGCAAAAAGCACATAAGTATCATGTATGATCATATAAAAACATTAAATCATTTTTATTATACTAACAAAAGTGAATATAAATGCTGAATGACTGATTTAATCTTCTTCATCTTGAATCCCATTGGCTTGTCCCTCTGTTTCCAGACACGTCCAGAAAAAGTAAATTATTTGCCCAAAGGCTCTCATTCTGTTATACACCTCAAACAGGGAGCACTGCTCTGCCACTGCATGTATTGCTCTTTATTGGAATGATTATTTTCTCTCACCAAGAAAAAGCTGCAGTTTCTCCCTCACAGATTAACCCAATGAGACCATTCTAGGATGCTAGCACTGGCTTTCAACACGTCACTATATCTGTGAAGTATCACTACATATAAATTGTCTCAGAACTTATGACTTAAAACCACATATATTATCTTTTGTTTCTGTGGGTCCAGATCTGAGTGGGTTTGATTTCTCTGGGTTCTCTAGTTTAAGGTCTCCCACAACGTTTGCCACAAAATCAAGGCTGTGGTCACCTCCAGACTTATCAGGGGATGGATCCATTCAAACCCACTCACATGACAGCTGGCAAATCCTGTTTCTCCAAAAACTGTTGGCTAGATGTCCCTTAATTCCCCCAGCCTCGCTGTATCACAGCTCACAACAGAACTAGAGGCTTTATCAGTGAGAGGACAAGAAAATTCAGAGAGAAGATGAGTCCACTGAAAGTCAGCCTTACAATGATGACAAAGCCTTGACTTCTGATTGCAGAACTAAGATACTGAGCAGTGGGGTGGGGGTGGAGGGCATATGGGGAGGTGAGTAGAAATGACATCAGGACAATGATAGGGGGACTTGTACACTTGGCAGTGGTGAGGTGCATCAAATGCCAATCATAGATACAGCAACACCATCAGAGTTTTCTAAACTGATCACCTAACCTCCCCAAACAAACAAGACAACCTTATGCAAGAAATCTTAGAATCATCCTCAGTGTGGCCACATTCATTTATTAGAAGGAAGTGATTAGGCGTGGGTCATATTAGACCCCTACCTAATGACTTATTAGAAAGGGATCATATTAGAAGTCACCAATCCCTGTGATTAAAAAGTAGTTCAAGGGACTGGAATGATGGCACAGCAGGTAGGGCATTTACCTTGCACACAACTGACCTGGGTTTGATTTCCAGCATCCCATATGGTCCCCTGAGCACGGCCAGGAGTGATTCCTGAATGCATGAAACAGGAGTAAACCTTGTGCATGTCTGGGTGTGATCCCCCACCCCCAAAAAAAGCAAGTTCAGAAGCAAAGTTAATGCTTGGCAGCAGTGCCAAGCTTTAGACAAATTCATCTCTTCAGGGGCCCATTTACTTATAGTATGTACTTAATAATAATATTCTTTTCTTTCACTTTAATAGTTTTCCTTTGGTTCTGGGTTATGCTCAGTTGCATTCAGGGTTTGCCCGGGCCTCTCTGCACAGGGATCACTCCAGTGAGGGGGAGGGGAATGGAGTGCTGGGGATCAACCCTGGTTGGCTTCAGGCAAGGCAAGCACTTGACCTACATAATAATCTCTCCAGCCCCTAAACATTCTTGAAATGTAAAGTTGCCGGTGCAGAAAGAGAGTCCCTCCCGGCCTTTATCCATATCTGCAGTTCGTGGACAATTATGTTTTGATGACACCATGCCATTTGCCACCCTGGAAGGGAAGGCACTCTTGGTAAGAATGGCTGGCATCCTGTTTGCCCTGAGACCACGGCGTGACGAGCCCTCAGAATGTTCCCTTCTTTCTCCTTCTCCAGAAAACCCCGAGCGAGTGGCCCTGTACTTCGTCTCCGGCGTGTGCATCGGGCTGGTCCTCACCCTAGCGGCCTTGGTGATGAAAATCTCTTGCCAAACGGACTGCCGGCGGCGCCGCAGGAAGAAGTTCCTGCAGGACGGCGAGAGCAGCAGCGACAGCAGCGACAGCGAGGACGGCAGCTCGGACACGGCGTCGGACATCTCGGTGCGCAGACACCGCCGCTTTGAGCGGACTCTGAACAAGAACGTCTTCACGTCGGCCGAGGAGCTGGAGCGCGCACAGCGCCTGGAGGAGCGGGAGCGCATCATCAGGGAGATCTGGATGAACGGGCAGCCCGAGGTGCCCGGGACCAGGAGCTTAAACCGCTACTACTAGGGCAAGGGAGGCACCAGGGACCAAACCCAGTTCTGGGATTATAATCTGGGATTATCATCACAGCAGAGGTAAAGCAGAGGTCAAACAGGGCTTTCTCATTTTAGCTCTAAGGACTCATTTCTCCTTTTGGATGACCTTCCGGGGGGAATAGAAGAACCAAGGTGGGTCGTCAACCTTTCCAGGTCTTGGAACGCAGGTGCTGAAAACCCCTGTCCAACAACGTGGATGGAGAATGGAGAGAAACGGGACTGCGGGTTCTCTCGATTTCTGAGGATCTCAGAAGTTTCTGCAAACGTCATTGCTTTGTTACTCCTTTGCAAAAGGAAAAGATTATACGGCCCCAGGGCTACGAATAGCTGGGTGAATTTCACCCAGTCAAGTCAGTTTTCTAAGTGACTAGGAGCGAATGGAGCTGATTTCCAATCCAGATTGCTTGACCCAGGCTAATATTATTTAAGGCTGATTTTTCAAAGCTTGGGTCGCAGTGGGCAATGGGTCCGTTTTAACTGACACCTCAGGGATTAAAATCCTATCTTTTAGTGTAGTTTCCACCTCATTTATGAAAATGAATTATTGTATTGCAGAAAATGTGTCGGTGAACTAGAAAACGTTAATAACCTCAAAGGATGAAGGGTTTTATTTGAAATAGTTTATAAAGATATATTAACATGCATATTTGAAAATAATGCACAAGAACAAAAGCTGTGGGGTGACTCCCTTTGGGGGAGAAGAAAGTTTTGTTGTGACTCTGGGTGAGCATAATTGCAAACATGTTTAATGTTATAAAACAAACATTTGGATTTCAAGAAAACAAGGGTCATGGGAGATAAAGAATAAAGCCCAAATTAGGGTGGTATTTTAAAAAACAAATAAAGTTGTCATAAACTCTTTTTTGTTTGCTATTTCTGGGTTTATTGGACCTTAAATCTGTGGTCTGGAGCTGGAGGGATAGCACAGCGGGTAGGGTGTTTGCCTTGCATGTGGCTGACCAGGGTTCTATTCCCAGCATCCCATATGGCCCCCTGAACACCGCCAGGAGTAATTCCTGAGTTGCATGAGCCATGAGTAAACCCTGTGCATCGCTGGGTGTGACCCAAAAAGAAAAAAAAAGTCTGTGGTCTTCCAGCACCAGTTCGTGGACTGGCTTAGGTCTGCAGGTATAGAAATGTTGCAAACCACTGGTCTACCGCCTCAGTTTCCTGAGTTTTAACTGTGGACCCATGGCTAATGTGCAGGATAGTGTCCATCCACAGGTGTGAAAAGGTTGAGAAATGCTGGCATAAATGACAACCCTTCAGGTAGGTTTACTCTTTTGCCAGATCTTTCGAATAACTGGAGAACTGCGAGAATAGAGAAATGGTCCCTGAGGGCTGCATGTTATAGTAGCAGGATGGTTACTGTGAAGCAAATGAAGATATAAGTCACCTAAGCCTAGGATAAGATGATGGCCCCATGAGGAGAGGGGAAATTAGTGGAGAAAGAAGAGGAGCAAGACATTTAGAAATAGGGTACAGGGAAGGAAGGAACATGATCCAGAGTGACTGGGAAGTTGCATAGTGAACTCTAGCTGTCTGTTCCTTCTCTTCTGTGTAGTGGGTTCCTTGTTTAGAGGTTCTAGAGCATTCCTGTTAGGAGACTCTCTACTGGCTTTTTTTTTTTCACAGTCTGAGAAACTTCCTTTGCTGGGTTCTGTACTGCTTTGGTCACTCTGTGACTTGGAGGATTATCTTAAGAACAATTATAGGTCTCTTGGCCAAAGGGGAGATCCATTTCATGTGGAGCCCATGGTGACTGGTCTTCGTAAAACATTATGGGTGGTCTCATTTGCTAATAACAAAAATCTTGTTCAATTGAGTTCTCCAAATCTGGGTTCTTATCCATATGGTTTCCATCTCTTGGCAACAATTGCAGAAATTATCTATTCCTTTGGAATTTAGACCAACGGTATCTATCTTGATGTCTGTCCCTTAGAAAACTAGCCATGAGGAGCTGCCTTCACCCCTATGATGCACCCTGCATTGGCTATTGTGAGGGCTGGGATCTTCATTAGGTAGAAACTACAGGGGTTGCCGCAGTGGAGGGGCTTGGGAAGAGCAGGGCACTAACTTTACTAGTTGTCACTCCATTATACTGATATCTTTCTTCCACTCTTCAACATTTTTCAAGTTTAGAATGGAAGTAGTTTGACCTACAGCATCAAATATGCTAACTAACAGTTTAGCCAGTTGCTTTGCTTCCATCAAATGCTTCCATCAAATGTTCTCTAGTTTTAGTTGAAAATAGAGGAACTTCTGCCATTAGCTTCCTATTTTGACCCACCTCTTTCTCATTTAGGTCAGTCATTCCCAATTCTGGTTTCTGTATTAGGGCACTTTCATTTGCAAATAAAATTTATCCAGTTTACAGAATGTTTAATGTTTCACAGAACCAGCAGAATCCCTGGATTTTGCTTCCGGAATGATAATGTCCAGAGAACTTTGTAAAGGTTGGGCTTCCCAGTATTCCTCTGCTTCTTTTAGTTGTTCATATCAAATTTTTTCTACAGCAGCTACAACTATAACGCAAGTGTACCAATGTATTGCGTTAGACTGCTTTCTACTGATCAAACACCCCCACCCTCAGTGTGTGTGTGTGTGTGTGTGTGTGTGTGTGTGTGTGTGTGTGTTAGTATTTCCTGGCTTATCTAGCTTATCTAGCTCAGAAGATAGCACAGACGGAATGCCTTATGTTCAGCTTGCCCAGTCTTTCCTGGGTCCACAAAGAAGCACTGGTTGTTAGGTAGCTATCAGAAGAGCTAGAAGTATAGCTACCACCAGATTCCTTAAGAAGATTTTCCTGTGCTAAAGGTCCAGGTGATCATTATCAAGTCACAAGACATCTAAGTCATAGTAACTTATGCTTCATTGTTGGCAGGGAGTGGGCCATTAGTCACATAAGACTTCTGGATTTACATAATTCCATTGAAGACACAAGAGAAAAGGAACAATTTACTCAAAATAGAGCATCATAGATTCAAAACATAGCATCACAGAGAAGGATTGTTTGGTTTGTAGAATGTGCCCATTCACTAGCAGTCATTGTGGCAAGTCTGGGAATGGGATGGAGTGGAGATAAGGTGGTGGGCAGGTATATAATAGCCTACACACCAATTGTCTTGGATTTATACTATATTAATTTTTGTTGGTTGATATTGTTGGTGTCCTCTACCTACCTTCTGTGCTTCTAGTCACTACCCACTAATCTCACTCTACATATCCAGAGGTATTTTATATTTCATATATTGTAAAGATTTTAATGAGCTCCCTTGATGCTGATGATTTGTAATGTCTCTCTCCAGACCTGGCTAACTTTCAGACTCCTATTGACCACTTGAATTCAACCACAGGAAACAGTTGTCCTCAAACACAGGAAATATTGGCAGTGTCAGGAAGACATTTAGATTGTCAAACTGGATGGGGGAAATACTATTGATATCTAGTAGGTGGAGGGCAAACATTCTACAATGCTAAACTCAGTCTACCAGCCATTCCCATCAAACCTTAAGCATGTAAGAAATTGTTTCAGCTATATGACACTTGTGAAACCAAACCCCAAACACTAGAATAGACATAAGTCATCATTCCTGATACATGATCTATCCAATTTTTGACACATAGAATCTGTGAGCTTAATAAATTGGTGATTCTTTTATACCACCAGGGTGTTTTGTCTGTTTTTATTTATTTCTGCTTGTTTTCAGGTTTTGGAGTTACACCAAACTGTGCTCATTTTCACTCCTTGTGGGCTCAAAAGACCATATGTGGTTCTGGGAATCAAACCTGGGTCAGACTTGCTCAAGGCAAGCACCTTACTGGCTATGCTATCTCTCTTGTCCTACTTTACCATTAATTTTTGAGGTGATTTTGTACACGATACATCATTGAATATTATTCCCAACCACCATAACATTATATAATACATATTCTTATAGATATTTCTATGTCAATTCATGACATGGATTCCCAATATCAGATATTTCAGACTACTTTCAGGCTCTCTATTATATAATCAATTAGCATATATTCCAAATTTTAAGCCAACCATTTTTCTTGCATCCATCCTGATTTATACAGACTGTTGTGTGCTGATGAATTTTCAAACACATGCACACACATCTTCATAAAACCTCAGAGAACGTGAAATAGAGCTTGGTCTATTTTAGCATTCTAAAATCTTAATTGTTTATGACAAAGATGGTTTTATTGAGTTTATAGAAGTCTATTTTATCTGTCTTTACTAATTATTTTAGCTCCTGAGCCATTCCTAACAGTTCTCAGAGACTATTCCCATCTCTGTGTTGATAGTGGCTCCCTGTGGTACTCAGAAAAGCCTGTGGTGCTGGGAATTGAACCTAGGCCTCTGCACGCAAAGGATGCACACGGCCCATTCATCTGTTTCTCTGACGCTGCATTTCTTAATTTTTACCTCTACCAGTAATTGTTTCTATGTCCATAGAAGTTTTAGAGTATTTCTCATTTAAAAAAATATATATTCACTCAGGTGTTAGCTTGTGATAAGATTCTCGGTGAGTTTTCCAAGTTCAATACAGTATCAAGAGTCTAACCAAACTCTTAGAGGCTTACACAACAGGAGTTCCCCTTGAAATCATAATGGTTGTTCTGAACCTTATTGAAGATCAATTTTCCAGTCCCTCTAGCTTGAATAAATAAAGAGAAACTTCTAAAGCTTAACCACTGGAAGAGTATGCCTTGTGCCCTCAAAATAGCCACAGGGTTTATCTTTTGATTATTCCAGTTTTCAAGATCATTTTGGTCCTTCTTGACTGAGCACTTCACCCCCGAATGCATTTAACAGTATCGTTTCTACTGGGAAAAACCATTATTTAGTCACTGAGAGAGGGAACTTTTATATGAAAATCTTTCCCCTAACCTAGCTCTCTCTCTCTTTTTATTCAATTTTTTTTGAGTCACGTGAGGTACAGTTACAAAGCTTTCATGTTTGAATTTCAGTCATACAATGATCAAAATCCCTCTATAGTGCACATTTTCCACCACCAATGTCCCTATTATCCACCCCCCCCATCCCAACTCTCCCTCTGCCTCTATGTCAGACAATTTCCACCATACTCTCTCTACGTTTGGGCATTATGATTTGCAATATAGATACTGACAGCTGTGATGTTTAGTCCTTTATCTTTCAGCACATATCTCCCATCCTGAACAATCCCTCCAACCATCATTGACTTGGTGATCCCTTTTCTATTCCAGCTGCCTTTTCCCCCAGCTCATGAGGCAGGCTTCCAACTATGAAGCAATATTCCTGGCCCTTGTGTCTACTGTACTTGAGTGTCAGTCTCATATCATATTATTTTATTTTCCACAAATGAGTACAGTCATTCTATGTCTGTCCCTCTCTTTATAACTCATTTCACTCAGCATGATAGCCTCCGTGCCCATACACTTATGAGCAAATTTCATGACTTCTTCTTTCTATCACCTAGCTCTCTTTTGTTTCCTTTCTTTCAGCTGCGGACATAGACCTGGTCTATTTGTCTAATGGTGGCAACAATAACGTTTAAAATATCTGTACATCCAGCTTCCCTTTGAAGATCACAAGATGCTTCTGAGGCTCTGTGAAGAAAAGTTTTCCTGGACCTGCAGCCAGGACTCAAAATTGAGAATCATTCAGACTCAGAATTGTGCAACCAGCACCACCTTGTCAAAAAGACAAAGTGATTAAAATTTTTTCCTCTTGTAGTCCTGAAAAATGATCATTTTAGCCATTGATTTTGGTCTTTTCATGGAAAGTATCTGATGACTTAAACCATGCTATGTCATGTCTTAGAAATGAAAAAAAAAGTTTTTGCCACTAAATAAGTAATTCATCAT